CCTATAAACCTGGTATCGCTGTCGTTGGTAATAGTGCTCTAAATAAACCCAAAAGACTATCGCTGTGTTTTGTTTCTGTAGATTAAATTAAAATGATAAAATTGTTAAAGATCTCTTAGGCAAACGCAAGCAAACGAAAATATTAGATTTTACAAAAAAGTAGAGAAAAATCAAAATGTTGCTGATATTCAGATTAAGGAAGCTCAGAAGTTGATATTTTTCAAAAAGAAAACCCTCCTCCTTTAGCAGTGAAGAAAAAATTAATATTAATTAATTAACGTGCAATACTTTTGATTGTGAATGTTAGTTGATTGATTGCTTTAATAAACAGATTTCTCTTAATTACGAAGAATAGTGTACTTTTCCTAACTTTTGAAACCAAACCCTATGTTCTGTACTAATCCTTTGTTTCTTACAGAACGGATTCGCGTGACACGGCACTTTTTCGGAACCAAACTACCGTGTTTCCCCGAAAATAAGACATCCGCAGAAAATAAGACCTAGCACAGGTTTTGCTGAATTGCGAAATATAAGACCTCCCCTGGAAGTTANATATTGTATATGTTCTGAGTAGGAATAATTGATTTTAAATAAACGTACAGTATATTATATTTTAGACAGATTTTACAATTTAGTTTTTGAGATTGTTCTTATCAATGGCATCACTTATAAGAGATACGTTTAACAAAAATAATAGAAGTAAAAATAATAAAATCCATGGATAATAGATATAAAAAATAATAGATTTAAAATTTTAATTTGGTGGTCGTAGGATATATGAAGATCGTTCAAATAAAAAGTGGACACGCGTCAGGACTGGCAAACATTTATTGGGAATCTAAAAGAAAATCTGCATGTTTGTTTGATTCAGCAGATCGATGTCCCTCTCGTAGGATTCTGGTGGCTGCCGGTAAAAAAATTCTTCGACCTTATCGTTCACTTCATCGTTCGACATAAATCTTTTCCCTCTCAAAGCTTTCTTGAGAGGTCCGAAAATGTGAAAGTCGCATAGCGACAGGTCAAGACTCATCGCAGATGTTCTAGTATCTCCCTTCAAAAACTGTCAACATCAAGTTTCCAGCACTGGTCATCGTTACAGACTCACGAGGTGCCGGGGAAGACGAGTGTTTCCGACGATTGCTCATGTTCTTCATTTCGGTAGTGTAATGATGGCAACAAGTCTCGTCTCTTGCAACAATACGAAGGAGAAACTCCGAGTCTTCGTTATAGCGCGTCCGGTGTTGTAGACTCGGTGACATCCGCAAAATATGGTAAACTCTAGTGAGGTTTTATGTCACCCATTGTGCAGAGATTTTTCTGAATTGGAGATGTTTGTGGATGATAGTTTGCCCCGTTTCTTTGCTGAAATTCGTGGATGTGCTGATTGCTCAAGTTGCAACTCGTCTGTCATTTCTGATTATGTCGTCCACAGTGGCTTTTTATGCAGCAGAGATTACGGATTCTGCCTGACCTGGTCTCGGAATTGGCTTGCAGCCTTCTCTGTAACTCTTACACCAATTATTCACTGCTGTTCGTCCTAAATAATATTTACCATAAACATCCTTCATTCGTCTATAGTTGTCTGCACTCCTATTCCCTTCAGCCACTAAAGTCCGAATACCGCCCGTTTTTCGATTCTGGACGCTTCCATCGTAACTAAATTAACATCAATCTGCCGATTACTGGAGATAAAATCTATTCTCGCCAATACTTAATGCAGCCCGCGCTTCTTCTATATTGAGCTTACCCGCCCGTAACGTGGCCTACCAATCGCTACTTTACACGTAAAAACATGACACGTGTCCACTTTTCAATTGGGCTATCCTTATATATTTATAATACGTATCTATTAGTTCAAATATTTAATCAAAAAATACTGACTGTAAACCTTCGCAAATGCTGATTATTTTTGTAATTCCTTTGTGATTTGTAATTTTTAAAATCTCGTTACTTTTACTTTTTTGTTTATAAATTTTTTGATTACTTTTGGAATGTTCTCATTTTTTGTTCGATAATAAATTTGCTTACAACAAAAGAGTTATTAGTATGCCAGTTAAAATTTCTAACAGTTTAAAAAATTTGTTTAAATACCTATACCATCGTGAATGTAGAGTGGATAACTTTTAAGCTTTAAAGGGCTTAAGAGACAAAAATTTCTAGTTACGTCACTGGTCGTGCAAGAAGTCTTTTTGGTATTTAAGTCTTGATTGTGACTCGGACTCGGCGTGGTACCAGGCAACCGTGTTAGCCGAGCAGTACATAATATATTAATAATAGACAACATACATATTATGTAAAGATATCAAAAAACACGGTTGTTACACGTTCACAGCCCACTTGACCCGCTCGTGGATCAGAGAGAGGACGTTTGAAAAATCTGCCAGTCTCTCTTGACTACCAATGGCGAGCGCAGCAAAGGCCTAAGTATGGCTACTCATCATAAACACATTCACCACTTCACTCAAACACAATGGACAACATACACAAACCCGGCCAAAGTGCTTCAACAATCTAACCACTAATCATCAAGGCCGGAAAGCACGTCAATGGATGAAGGCAAATGGATAGGGCAAAACAAATGAATGAATTTATCATTCGTAATTACTACACTATCATAAAACTCGAAGTAGAGATGACTGAATACAGACACTATAAGACAAATTCATAGAAAAATACTTTTATCTCACCGTTACATACAAATCAGAAAAGAAAATTATATACAACTTTATTTCACAAATATTGCTTGAACATAACAATTAATAAGTTGCACAACAGATACAAAATACACGCTACTTGATCACATTTTCACGGTTTTAACCTTTCTTCGTAAAAATCTTGCCATTTTTACTAAAATTTCCCTTATTCCCCATATTATTCTATGAATTTCCTATCTTTTTTCCATTTCAAATTTTATCATTAAAATAGTCACCGGCCATATTATGGCTACACGAGGAATTCAAATAAAACTAGATTTTAAAGTTGTTTTTGGATTTAAATCTTATTATTATAACGTTAAAGATGTACTGTACTTAAATATCTATTTGTATTTAGTGACAAATTAAGTACTAAAAACTAAAATGTTAAAAAAATATTAAATCAATAGATTAATATTTTGCTATGCACATTTGTATTGATTACTGTTCGCCTACACAACACCGACATTGGTTCTTTTCACGTTACGATAGAAAAAATCCTTTTGGCTTCGTGTTTAAATGTGGAAGCCCTAAAATTAAATCAGTAACTCACTTATGTCTGGAAACTGGTTTGTCATCAAAATCCTTCTTATTTCTCACTTTCTTCCACGTTTTTTTCAATAGATTTATTAATAAATTCCCTTTATAAAAATTTTAAACTTCTTCAGTCCATGTCAACATTTTTGAACATAAATAAAATCTTTAAAATAAATCTTTAGAGAAAGAAATCTGCAAATCTAAAGACAATCTCTCTGAAGAGCTCGTTTTATAATAGCAATGTTTTAAATTTAGTCGACGAATCAGAATTCCAGCTACAGTTTAATTTATAGAAAATTATTAATTAAGAAACGAAATGGAATTGCAATTCATTAAATAACAATTTTTCCCAACTCTTCCTAAAATTTCTCTTTTTCCCATCGGTTAGTAACAGTAGTCAAAGACAGAGCACTTGGTATTTTATTAAAGTTATTGTACTGGACATTATTTGACGTTACTAGCACGAGATTTGGTTTTGTATAGTTTCTAAATAAATAATTTGAATAAACAGTAATATAAAAAAAGTGTGATTTTTGAAGATTTGTGTTATAGAAGCCCCTTTATCTAATTTATAATTTTTTCTAAAATTACTTATAATAAGAAAAACATTACTTTTGATAGTCAAACTTCATTGAAAGCATTTCACTTTTGTCAGTTTAATTCCGTGTTTCTTTATGAATGCTTCGTGTCTCTTCAATCGATTGATCTGTCACACAATTATATTTTATTCATGAAACATATTTGTATTTTATTATTATATTCAATAGTATTTAAGTTTAGCAGTAAATTTGTGTCATCTCCAAACAACAATTTTGTAACAAAATAAAGTACATTTCTGTCTTCTTCAAACATAACAATTTTGTAAATAAATTGATAGAATAACTTGTATTTTATATTTTATCGAAAAGTAATTTTTATAAGTTTGGAATGTATAACAACGTTAATGGCCCGGTTATCCATAATTTGCATACAAGTTAGTCCGTCGATCAAAAAAGGGTCTAAGAAGGTTTTATATGCCTTTTACATCTCTATTTTCATAATTTGTTTACAGATCATGCATTTAAAAAAAATCCCGAACATATCCCCTTTAGCGTACATTCTTTAAACTTTTTAAAAATTTTTCCCATATATTACGCTTGTTATGTCAACTTTTATTGCATTATCAGCTGGAATATCATATATACTTCGTTTTTAAATATGCTCCTTTTGACAACTTCTAGTTTTTATTTTAAGACACTAGGAAGCATATGCATATAAATGAAAGGAGAAGTATGTCTGAAACGTGTTCGATTGTAATTGTTTGGCCACTCATTAATATTATTTGACGTCACAATTAAAAAACGTAATGTCCTCAATCTTGAATACTTTATTGATGGCTTATAAATTAGTATTATATATCGTTTTTAAAGTTCTATATTATAACATTCTATATTTTAATGTATTCTAGTCTTTACTTTTATAGTATTAAATATACCATGACTTTCATATGTATATGATAAATATTATCATATACATATGATAATATTTGATGTCTGTTTTGTATGCTATGTAAAAACACAGTAATACATTCCATAGATTAAATTGTGCCTAGACGAACCTTGACCTAATTTCGATAAGGTAACAAATGTTATTTATATATAATGCATTTAATTGCTAATTATTAATATCTAATTTATTGTTCATTCAAATTTAACTAATTGCAAAAAATTAAGTAAAAAATATAGTTTTAATTTTAATTAGAATAAAAATCGTTTTAGTTTTTATTTATCCATTCAAGGTCAAAAGTAACTTGATCTATAATCCCTTGCAAGTTCAGTGTATTTGTCAGCATTTCTTCTTTAAGTGGCAGTCGCATAGTTACACAAGTAATCTAAAATTCTTAAACTACAAGGTAATGCTTTATTTAACTAATGTTTAAGCCATAAAATACAGATTAATCTGGCTAAAGTAAGTTATTTAATACGTTTTAAATTCTGTTCTAATCGAATTTGTAGTTTAAGTGTTAAGTATGATAAGTTACGTAAAATTTCCCATGTATTTTAGTAGATGTTCGTTTTTTAAAGTTAGTGCTATTCACAAATATAGATAATCCAAACAGATTAGTGTTGTTAAAGCTTGAGAGAGGCCACATTATAGCATTATACTATGGGCAATGCACTAATAGTATTTTAATGTCTGTTGCGATTAATTGCCAGAAAAAAAACTTGATTTTATTGATAAAAATGTAAAAAGGTGATAATTTCTTATACGCAGTAGCAATTAAATTTAAAAATAGATAGATACTGTATTTTTAAGCACTTATTCTTGAATGACTTTATGGTCATATATAGGTTGTATATATTATATATATGACCTTATAACTACTACGTGTCCATGCATGAATCGCCTTGAACCCAAATATAATATGTATATTTTTTAAGTAAGTAAATTATTCTGTGTATATTCAATAAAATTTGTGCAAAGTTGATTAATTATATTTTAATATGAAATAACTTTTATAAATAAACAAATTCTTATTATTAATAGCTTTATTCTCATTCTAAAATTGTAATTATAGCAAAAATATTTCTTTATATATAATGTGCTTAACCTTGGCTGTATATGTGTGATAATCTCATAGTATTGTACATATATAAAATTATTATTATTATAATTATAATTTTAGAATTAGAATAAATCTACTGATAATAAAATGGGCGAAAAGCAATGTTAAATACAAGGTTTTATTATCGTTAAGTGACTATAATTTTTGAATATATTCGGGATAAGTATTAAATTAAGTTTAACAATTACAGCAAAGAAGATATTAATACTGAAGTAAAAAATGATTTCAGAAGAAAAAGAAGCACATGAACCTGTAAATATACATTGATCTTATTTCGGTTATTTTAGCACTTTAAATATTTTCTAATTATATTAATATAGGAAGAAGAAATAAATTATATGCCAAGCAACTGGTCACATCGTTACGAAAGTGATAAAGTCATCGAAAACTTTATCAATGTTTTAAATAGATGTAATGACTAATATTATTTTGATTTAACTTTTTATAACTTATTTCATTGCTAGTTTTAATTTAGCAAATTCTTTTGTAGTGAGCGAAGATGTAACTAAAACAATTCCACATCGCGTAAACGTAAAATGTGAAAACTTCAATGGAAAAGGCATGGATATTTTCAGTGAAGATTTGCCAAATGGTATTACATTTATCGTCGTAAAATTTAAATAACGTAATTCAAAAATAATTAATTAAAAAATATCATTTCAGATTCTCCAATCTTTGCTTTCATTCATGGAGGCTTTTGGAGTGAAGGAAGGTAAAATACATTCTATTTGTATGTATTGATTAAATAATAGTAAAAAAATTGAATATTTTATGTGTAAATTAGTTAGTATAATTATCAAAGTTCAATTAAGTATGAATTAAAATATTGAATACTTATTCACAAATAAATACATTTCATTCAAGTTCAGAATTATCTCTTTCATCAGTTTTCTGGAGGCTACATTCCTGTTGTTTTTGCAGTTTTCGTTCTTCTTGCTTCTCCAGCTTTTCCTACAGTTTGGAAGTTGTATATTAGCTTCAAACGTTTCACTCTTTTCATCCTGTTTTAAGGACTGCAAACTATGGGAAATATTCTATCTCTTGGCAAAAGTAACCATTTAATGAACGAGTCATTCAACCTTGAAAGCCTAAACTTTCAAGGTTTTTAAACTTCCTTCAAATAAATTTATTTACAGAACTGTAAGAAGTACAGTAAGAGCTGAGTAAATCGGAATGATACCGAATATTTTTCCGGTTTGACAGGTTTCCGATTTTAAAAAATTTTTTAATAAAAAAAAAATCATCTCTTTCCGAAGAATTTTTCAACGGATTTTCCCATCTTATGTCTTTTCTTTTTAAATACTTGCTCCTTCTAATATGCCACTTATCACGGGATGCGAACTGGCTATCTAAATGCATTTCTTCGTTTTGATTTGTATTCAGTTAACCTTTATTATTGATTTATATTGAATTACATTCATATAAAGTCCACGCAACAACTCCAAAGAAGCAAACATCACGTTTCTGCTTTAGAGATGTTATTTGGACTTTGTTTTTGTACGGTCGTTAGGAGTTAGCGAATCAATATATAGTTATTTACATTAAGATCTTTGAACATTACACTTTGAACACAATACCAAATATCTTATGAGATTAAAATTTACGTCTGACGTAAAACCCAGTTGTAAAACATCTTTAAGGTAGGATAGGATGCAATTGTATCTCCATCCGCAAGCCGATTATTTATGATCGACAGGAAATTGTTATTCTAACGATTTAAAATTTCCCGAAATTTCTGAAATATTCAATGTACTGTACTGTATATCACGTTCTATATCAGGACTATTAAAGTTTATAAAAAAAAAGTCGTCTCATTCTACATTTTTATTGATAAAAGGGTTCGACGACCTAAAATGAATATTACAGTATCAATAACATCTTATCTATAAAATTGATTATATTTTAATATAATAAATTGTTTTTCTATAAGTTTATGTTCGAAATATTTTTACAAAAACGCTTGTTATGTCAACTTTTATTGCATTATCAGCTGGAATATCATATATACTTCGTTTTTAAATATGCTCCTTTTGACAACTTCTAGTTTTTATTTTAAGACACTAGGAAGCATATGCATATAAATGAAAGGAGAAGTATGTCTGAAACGTGTTCGATTGTAATTGTTTGGCCACTCATTAATATTATTTGACGTCACAATTAAAAAACAAATTAATGGTAATGTCCTCTATCTTGAATACTTTATTGATGGCTTATAAATTAGTATTATATATCGTTTTTAAAGTTCTATATTATAACATTCTATATTTTAATGTATTCTAGTCTTTNCATTTTTTTATATTCTTGATTTAGCAAAGAAATGTATCATTATCTAGCAAAATTATTCCGTAGCAAAGGAGTAGTTACAACTTTAATCGGTCATAACTTAGCCCCTTCTGGTAAGAAATTTTAATATTATCAATTAAAATATTACAAAATTATGTATCGTATTAGATAAATTTCGACACTGTTCAACAAAAGGAGGTTACTTGATAAGTCTACTTACATGAGAAAGTAATGCAGGAATTAAATTTGTTTTTTTTAAATTTTCCATTACTTCCAATCGCAAAATAATATAAAATTTTGTAATTAAAATTTAAAAATTAGCCTTATGTATATTGATATATGATTTTAGTAAAATTGCAGCTCTAAATGAGCGGTTTGCTACCTCCCAAATTGCATTCCAACCGCCTCATTCGGAGCTGCAATTGTATCATGATTTTTATAATTATTTATAAAAAAAATATTTAGTTTATAGAAGAATCAATGTCAAGACTTGAAAATGTTGCGATTTAAAATTGTACGAATCAAATTAATAATAAATATTAAAATATGAAGATACCACTTAAATTAATGAATCGCTGGAAGACCGCAGTGTTCTGTGCTGTGTCGTTTATTATTTCGGACTTTTAATTCTTTATACATTTCTACGGGATTATTTAAATTATCAATTCTTGAAAAGTAAATAAGTTGACTTACTTCATCTTTAAATAAATTGCAATATTATAATTCTGAATTAAATTTTTAAAACAATTATCACAATCGTACTGTGACGTTCGTATACATTAAAATGTTTATATTGTTGTAGACTTCTTTGCACACTTTTTCATGAAAAATTCAAGAATTCATTAAACTGCCATTCTTTTTAAAGATCTAATTTCAGAGCTGATTCAGAAGTTTAATGTATTTAACTCTTCAATTTTCTAATTCGATCACCCGTATAACTAAAAGTATGAAGTATTCTTATCATATCATACAGTATTTAAACTACAAGTATTTAGCATATTTATCGTAAAAACAACACAATTATTAATATACAATTTCTGAAATGTAACATTTAAATAGAATATATCATTTTTATTAACAACAATTTTTAATGAAAGTCATTTCTTTCAAATGAAAGCCACACTCACGGAAATTATTGAAGAGATCAAACAAACCATTTTGTGTCTAGTTCAATTAGCCGCAGAAAGAAAGTCAAAGTAAGCGAATGCTTTAGAAACATCATATTCCTTTATAAGCCTCAATTAACATAATTCTTACTTAATATTAATTAATAATTTATAGAGGAATCTACTTAAGTGGACATTCGTCGGGTGCTCATTTGGCAGCCATGTTTCTTTCTTCAGAATGGAAAGACAATCCGAAGATAAAAAAATACATTAAAGGTATAATTTAATTTTAATTTAAATTATATAATTTCATATTATTTTTTTGAGAAATTATAATTTTTTAGGTGTTGTACTTATATCGGGAATCTACGATATTTATCCTTTATTGAAAACTAGCGTGTTCGAAATCGTTCAGTAAGTTATAAAATCAATTTCTTATAACTAATTTTGATTAAAATAAATTAAATGCATAAAATTTATTTATAAATTTGTGTAGTTACATGATTATACTTGCGTTTTTAATTTAGTAAGGTGACTGAAAAAGCTAATCCATCCAAATTTCTAAAAGAAATTTCATCGAACTTGATAGAAACAAACATAAAAATTCTCATAGCAATAGCGGAACACGATCCTCCGAAATTTATTGAACAGTCTCAGCATTTTCAGCAGGTAAGTAAGAATAAATAAAGTGTATTATTTACAAAGTATCATTTACATCGCCAAACTTTTTTCTTTCAAAGTAATTTTATCTTATTATTATATTAAGTACTGTAAAGTCTCGTTTTATGCGGTGGATACGTTCTACAGAAAAGCGCATATAAAAAATTCGCATAAAAAAAGACTTTACTTGCCTTGAAAAAGTAGGGATACATTCCGTAATTTTCTAAAATCGCATAAAACCAAAACAACGAGTTAAAATTAACTTAAAACCGCATAAAAAAGCTTGCAGAAATTAAAAGAAATAGGCTGCTTAATAAATTACTTCAAATGTCTGAAAGAAATTCATATAAAAGCTTAAAATAAACTTGTATTCAAACTTAATAATATCCATAAGAGAAAGTTTTGGTCGAACAAGGAAAATAATATTCTGAGCAGTCGTAGCGGGTATTCTCTTGGGTTGTAACTGAAACATCTGAGTCACGTCATGTTCCTATTTAATTAAAAATACATCATTTAATATATTCATTGTCAATAAAATATACATAATTTAATTAATGTAATAACTATATATTTAGCTAACTTTTTTGCCCTATAGGAAATAGGAGGGTCTTCTTCCTGTCCATCACAAATTTAACCAGACCTACAATACGAATCACCAAGTGGTAATGAATAGGTATTATACATTTGAATCTAACTATTGATGAAGTTTTGAGATTCCAAATGTATTCTAGGTCTTGTAGGTGTCAGCACCAGTCGTCACTTTAAGTTAATTATTATACAGTTTGGCTTTTTTTATGCAGATTGCATGTAAGCAAGGTACCATGTAAAACAAAATTCGACATAAATTTGTGCTCCACTCCAAGTACTCTTTCCTAGACTCCATTATGTCACCATTTCAAATTAACAGAAAAACATTCAAATGTACTCATGTTTTTTACTAACAAGTAGCATTTTAGTCTGATATTTCTGAACATAGACCAATTTGTTATTCTGGACNTTTTTTTCAGTTTTAAGTATTTTTAATGTTTAATTACATTTATATCAAAAATTGCTAGGAACTAAAGCGATTAGATCTAGCTGTCCTTTACATCCATAAACGTTATATGTCAGTTGAACAAATGGAGTGAGCTTTGAGCGTTCCACGATTTTTGGAGACTGTCTATAGGCGGGCTTCCTAAACAAGTCTATATGTATGTTTGTCCAAGACATTTTTGGATGAAATACAAACCGCACAACTTCAAAATCGCATAAAAATAATCCGCATAAAAAGAGACCTTACAGTATACATAAAACTTAACTATAAATTAAATCTTAATTCACAGGAGAATTTTATTTATATTTATGATATTAAAATATGGATGAATGATCGCAAAATAAATGTTACCTAAAAAATAAGTACTCAATATGTGGAAACTGCCATACAATACAATATGTGAATAAAAGTAATATAAGAAAAAATCTAGAAACGAGTTGCGTAACTTATCCGGCTGTTATAAGATTTTATTTTAAAAATAACATTTATATTATTAATCATAATAAATAAAATTTTGTGTGGCGCCATCTGTTATGAGATTTTGTTATAAAAACTTTTTACATTATTTATTATTATAAAATGAAAAAAAAAATCAAATTCGACACGATTTCAATACTTTTCCTTGTTATGTATGCATAATAGCCAGGGTGATGAATAAATTCCTTATTGTAGAGTTCTAGACAGTGATTAAATGGCGTATGGAAAATTTGACTTGTAGCCAACTTTTTCATAGTCATACTCCACTGTGCTACTGAACATAATAGAAATATGGAGTATGTTGAAATAAAAAAAAGAAACTAAATGGGTTTTCTTACATAAAGGACATTATCATTAAGCTTTTAATGTACGATTGAAACAGTTGTTTCAGCTTTTGAAGAGTTATAATCTATGTGATATAAAATATTTATATCCGATTTCATAAACGTAAATAAAAATAGATTGTTATTGTTTTATTTATATTTATATAAACTATAAATTTACTAATTATTTAGTTCTATAGTGTTGTGTTCTATGTTCTATAGAAGCGATGTCCGTGGGCCGCATGCGATGTTTTTGTGCGGCCCTTTTAAAACAGTAATTATCTTGTATAGATTTTTTATTACAATGAAATATCACATGTATAGTTAAATACATTAATATGATGTATAACACCTTATCACGTACAATCAGAAATTAAAAGAGTATTAAATATTTTTAAACAAAGTTTTAAATGTATTACATACTAGCAGACCCCGCCACGCGTTGTTGTGGCTCAAAATGTATCTATTATAAATGTATAACACTTCCCCCGTGGGTGGGGAAATTTTTCGAAAAATTTCTTTTTAGTGTACATTCTCTTGACGTACCCTATTAAAACGCAATCAAAAACGCAAAAACCCGCATCTAAAATAGTATAAATAGAAGCAGAGTTCTTTACCGTAAGCCTTAATCCTAACCATCTCCCTTCAGTGGGGGAATTTCGACACGTATATTATATAAAAACACGTGCGTATTCGAATGCAGCGTTGTGTCAAAATTTCAAAGGAATCGATAGGAACAAACGAACATTACATTTTTATTTATATAGATAGATAGATGATCTGCTTTAGTTCATTTTTACAGAAAAGCATAATGCCTCACAGAAAAGCAAACTTAGGGCGTCGTACTCGTAGCGCCATCTGTTGGACATAAAAGCCTTAACCTAGATTATATATTTTAATTTATATGAATGTTTAACGGAATAATACACAGCCTATGGGTGAAAGAATTTTTGAAATCGGATGAGTAGTTTCGGAGATTACCCGCTGCAAACAAACTTACATACATACTTACAAACATTACCTCTTTATAATATTAGTATAGATATTGTATATGACATACTGTATATATATATGTATTTAATCAGTATGTTTACAATAATTTACAACAACAAATATTTTTAAATTGGCGTTTTGGTATAATGAAATTATTTTTCCTTAAATTTACCCTATGTATAATAAATGTCAAACAATAGATACATTTTTAAGTTACAATGGTCTTCTGTGTTTCCAATAAACGATAAGAAATTTTATTGTTTTATTTAAATTCTTTGGAAATAAGCCTAATAAAATATCAATTAGAATTACACATTTACGCGCGCATATAGATTTAAAATTTCAAATCATTCCGTGTTTAGATTGTTAATGGGTTTAATTATGTTTTACTGTGCAAGTTATTTGATTATAGTCAGCCACCAAGGAGGGCTTCATGTAACGGTTATATTCTGTAGGTCATTTCAAAATCAAATGACCGTTAGTTACTGGTTTTATTTTCTTTGACCTGGCATCCATTTTTAACCCACCAGTGGTCAAGCGGTCTTTGTACCCTGAACACTGGGAGTTCGGTCGTGGGTTCGAGCCTCGCTCGGACGGGCTGGCCACGTGGAGTTTTCCGGGTTTTCTTTACGTCTGTAACGCGTAAATAGGGGCCAGTTTCCCTTAAAAAGACCTCCCGGAAGGCATCCCCTAGGCAGATCGCCCAAGTGTTGCGTTACCATAACTTAACAAAACAAACTGAGGCCAATAACAAAGTTCAATTTTATACAAAATACGTCTGTAATGATACATTCCCTAACCCCAAAAGAAACGCGATGAGCATTACAGCTGCAATGGGAATCACCTATCTTTGTGAATTTTTTTTCTCAAAATTGAAGATTGTTAAATGTAAAAGTTGCAATAGATTGATCGATAAAATTTTTTTTAAATCAATTATATTGTACCTCTTGACATTAAAAAATTAAATGAAAAAATTGAAAAGCAAGTTTCATATTAAAATGCATACAGAATACTGTATACAGTAATTGTATATGTTTTGTTGTAAATAAATATGTGCGGCCCACAGTGTATTTTTATTTTTGGTTTTGGCCCAGCAAACGATTTCGGTTGGACAAAACTGTTCTATAGTAAAATTAATGATTTCTACGAAGTAATTCAACCAGATTAGTAGCATATAGACCTAATTATATTTTTAATTTCTTTTGCAGAAATTACAAGAATTTGGGGTAAGTTTAGATTATCTGTATGTCCAAGATGAAGATCATTTCTCTATTGTAGAGAAATTACATGACGAATCATTCATTTTAACACAGGTAAGATAATCGTATTATCCACTCAGAGATACAATACTGTGGGAACGACTGACGAGGGCGAGATGAAATATTTAAGGGTTTTCTGCTTGTAAAAGATTAGCTAAATACATTCACTTTATTAACTTAAAATATATTCTTGTTACATATACCAACTAAATTTTAAAAATCTAAACAATGCACTTATTCTTAAAATAATTATTACATATTAAAAGTATTGTTTGTGTTCCATTGTGCCTCACTGTATAGGGTAGTGTGGAACAGTGTGCAGTAGTGGTAGGGGCTAGATGGAACAATCATAAATAGCAACATTTAAGTGAAAACTTTTATTTATTGTTAAAATTATTTATTATTATTGTATGGAATTATGTAAATTTTCTGTAGTCACCCGATTTCCACCAGAAAACACTAGAATCAAAGGTCAGCGTCTATTGTACAGGTTTATTATTATTATTTTATGTATTGTTTTTAATGGTGTATCGTCTGTTCTTTTTTAATGAAGATTTTCTTCTTTTATTGATGAAGAAAGAAAATGTTTATATATATATATAAACATTTAAAAAACACTACAATTTGTTTATATGGCCTTCATGCCTTCATTACTTAAAATGTCAATAATCCTAGATTTACGTGAAATCTAATGTTCTATAACGCCTTTTTTGCGGAAATTTAAAATGTTACATTTTAAATTTCCGCAAATTTAAATTTAACATTTTAAATGTTAAATTTAAAATGTTACATTTACAATGAAAATGGGAACCTCGTGAATATAACGAGGTTCCCATTTTCATTACATTAAATGTAATGAAAATGGGAACCTCGTTATATTCACGAGGTTCCCATTTTCATTGTAAATGTAACATTTTAAATTTAACATTTAAAATGTTAAATTTAAATTTGCGGAAATTTAAAATGTAACATTTTAAATTTCCGCAAAAAAGGCGTTATAGAACATTAGATTTCACGTAAATCTAGGATTATTGACATTTTAAGTAATGAAGGCATGAAGGCCATATAAACAAATTGTAGTGTTTTTTAAATGTTTATATATATATATAAACATTTTCTTTCTTCATCAATAAAAGAAGAAAATCTTCATTAAAAAAGAACAGACGATACACCATTAAAAACAATACATAAAATAATAATAATAAACCTGTACAATAGACGCTGACCTTTGATTCTAGTGTTTTCTGGTGGAAATCGGGTGACTACAGAAAATTTACATAATTCCATACAATAATAATAAATAATTTTAACAATAAATAAAAGTTTTCACTTAAATGTTGCTATTTATGATTGTTCCATCTAGCCCCTACCACTACTGCACACTGTTCCACACTACCCTATACAGTGAGGCACAATGGAACACAAACAATACTTTTAATATGTAATAATTATTTTAAGAATAAGTGCATTGTTTAGATTTTTAAAATTTAGTTGGTATATGTAACAAGAATATATTTTAAGTTAATAAAGTGAATGTATTTAGCTAATCTTTTACAAGCAGAAAACCCTTAAATATTTCATCTCGCCCTCGTCAGTCGTTCCCACAGTATTGTATCTCTGAGTGGATAATACGATTATCTTACCTGTGTTAAAATGAATGATTCGTCATGTAATTTCTCTACAATNCTATCGAGAATGCCCTTTTCGATTTAATTGATGTGTGTGGAATCGTCTGTAATGCATTTAAGAGAAGACGGATGTTATGTGTTTTTTTCATCCGTAGCCTGGAAGATTTCTAGTTCGTTTTCGAGATGCATTACAGTACTTCTTTTGCTGTCTAGTATTCTCGATTTGTCTACCTCGGCTGCTTTAATAGAAACATCAAGCTTACAGCCCGATAATTCGGCAGTTCGTTTGGCTTTAATAATCAGGTTTATGAAGAAAAACTTCATACTTGCAAACTTCGTACTCGTTTGTATCCTAGCTCAATTTGCACAACCTGGCATAATGCAGTTATTGAAGCTACTGAGCGTAGTTAAAAATTAAGACAGCATCGGCACAATTATTCCAGATATTACAGGTTCTGACAAAGAATTTTCATCCTGTCACAAATAGGCTACATATTGATTATTGACAATCTGTGACATGCTATAATAAGCAAAAATTTAAAAAAAAAACTAATAAGAAGGCTTAAAAGTAATAAATACAAATCGTTTTATGGGCTAATTATACTTTCTATTTGCAAAATTTTCTCAACCTTAACACAAAATAAGAAAAAAGTAAATTTTTAAAAAATTTGAGGAATTTCCCGGGTTAAAAAACAGCCTGGATTTCGTTGGAGAAATCCTAATAAGCACACATCAAAAGTAATATATTTCATATTTTATTTTATTTAAATTTTTTAATATAGGTGTTTTTGAACCGCAATGATATACTCAGCATGTAATAGAGAAAATATTTTTAAGTTCTATTATATGTCAAAATTTGATAGGTTATTTATGATTTATAAGCTTATTTGCTGTTTACGTTATAGATAAGCCTTATTTATATCTTACGTTAGGGCTTTTCAAATGATAGGCCGATATTTTCGTGGAATGTTAAAAAGTTTGGACTATTTAAATTGATATCTGTATTATAGTTTTCGCGTATATATTGCTTGTCTGCTTATTAAAACCATTGGCCATGACAGCGATGGCAAATCTTTTTCTGAAGTTTAGTCAAAACTGAATACGAAATTTAGCAACTTCAAAGCGCGGAACGAATATTTAATTTTGGTAATTAAAAACTAACAAAAAGTGCTGATAAATTTTACCTTTTAATCTATTAAAAAGGTAAAATTTACATTTAAGCATTTAAGAGGAAAAGTAAAACAGTGTGAGATTATTCAATAGGTCACATGTTTTAAAAAAGTTGATCAAGTTTTGTTTGTTTCTTGTTTTTTCGATGGACTTGTCACATAATTGTCTCATTCCGCCGAAAATCCAGTCACGTGAGAGAGGAAGAATCATGTGTTGGACTGACGGAGCGATTTGCTAAACGGGAAAATTTTGTCGGAAACAACGTCATGTGTTTACATATTATTCGCTCTACTTTTTGCATTTTCTGGCGATTCGCTGACGTGTATACTTACTTCGCTTTAAATTTTTTTTTTCATTTCAAAGTGAGTAACACATAAGTGAGAAAACTGGTGTGTGGTATTAAAAAATGTAATACTGTACTATCTAAATATTCAATGAAATCGTCACGCGGATTACTGAGTGAGCAAGCACGATCTCTGTCTTCAAAAACGATGTGAATTCCCTGACAAAATAATACCGTGAGGCTGTCAATCAGACACATTATAATAAACACATTAAATAATAATACCCGTAAATAAAAATTTTGATAAAGTGTGCAGTGTAACCTTTCGACTGTACAGTATATTTTTAAAAGACGAAAGTAGATAAGAATAGTTATATTATAAACGGAACTAAACAAATATTGAACTAAAAACTACGGAATTTGAGAAAAAAAATCCATTGTCTGTTCAAATAGAGAACGAAAATTTACCCTTTGCAATTTGGCATTTCGGGAAACTGCTCGTACTGACCTCGGAAATGTTTATTTTTAATAAAAGTACAATAGGAAAAGATGAAATATTTTTATTTAACAGATGAGTAATTTAATAGAGTAAGTTAATAATTTTTTATTTAATAAATAACTAATAGTAATAATTTGTGATGTTTTCTCATGTATCAGTCATGCTGATTATCTTCTTTTAGTGTCTTTCAGCAATTTATTATTACTACTTTAAAAAATATATATATATATTAAGTATTCATTTAAATTTTTATTATAAGATAATTAGAATTTATTAGTATTATTAGAATGTTGTGTAAATCAAATTCATTCTGAACTTATTTTCAGAATTTGTTAGTCTGAACACCTTTATAATGAAGACGTTTAAGTGAGTTGAGTTTAAATGCAATTTTTGCACATAAAAATGTGCTGTTCTGTATAAGTTGATATGTCAATTCTGAATGTGTAAATAAAATAAATTTGGAAAATCAGAATGAAAATTTTTAAGAGAATTTTAATTCTAAAGAGAAAAAGAGAATTTTTATAATCGAGAAATTGATGTAACATTTTCTCTGCCAGATGGAAGGGGTTTCGCAAGAATTCCATTAATGGTTAAGTATCCATTTTGAGCAATAGCGTAATCGATATGTTCTGGATAGTTATCTTCTGGAAGAATATATTCCCATTTATATTCATTCAACCGATTTGTATGTTTGTCTTCGTGTCTAGCGTGTACCTTTAACGAATATATACCAAAATATGAATATTTTATAAAATAACTAGAAAATATTATGATATTCACTTAATTAAAACTATAATTGAATGTATCGAAAACATTATTTAAAACTTTAATTGTAATTGGACAGGAATAGAGGTGACTACTTGTAGAGCTACAGAAGACGTAACAGAAAGTACGTATAATGCATTAACTTATACCAGCATATTATTATAAAAAATATGTTAACTTAATTTGAGTATCTTCATAATTTATATTTTTAATATAGTCTTTATCATTGAAATATAAATTGTTATATCTTTTAAAGGATTGATTTTATGTAAGCATATTTTAAAAAATAGTCAATTGAAATAGTTTCGGGCAAGAGAAAAAGTGACTTTTTGGTCAGTGTTGAGATAAATACATAAACGCAAACCAGAAATATCCAAAATATTAGTTTAAAAGATATAAATAAATTCTCATTCTGTGAGTATACTAAATAATAACATTAAAGGAATTGTTTTTATATAGAAAAATAAGCGTAAAGTTATTGTAAATATTTTAAATTTAGAAAACTAAAACTTCCTAACGCATCGTTTATCATATCTGTGGGTTATAATTGGCCTATACCAAATCAAACACTGCCGAAAATTTAGAATATTAACTTCAAATTCAATTACTGTAGTAGCATACATATTATTCTTTACACTTAACAAAAAGCTTTATGATGTTTTTACATGTATGATCTTCAATAACGTATGCATATTCATTAAATTGATCCATAAATTTTAATCATTATCTTAAATAGATTTATAAATCTTACTTGTATGAAATTTCTCTTGGAAGTAACAGAAATATCTTCGGGTAAATATCCTTTCATGTCGAGACAAAGATTTAAATATTTTCCATTACTTTTGTCTTCGACCGTAGGAAGATAATTATCTGTACTTTCTTGATTTCGTATCGAACCGGATGATTCCGGCAGAAATCTCCTCGAATCATCCACGTGTCGCGTAGAATCTGACAAACTAAAAGTTGGTTGAGATGATGATGGTGATGGTGTCCCTATCAATTCTCGTTCGCGATAAGTCACTTGACCTCCTAATCGATTTATTTCCATTGCCAATCTTTGCATTTCCTCGCTGAATCTATCTCTAGAAGTAGTTAAACTTCGCTCAATATTATCGTAAGTGTTTCTAGGAGATTCTCTCTGATCCATTTTAAAGCTGTTTGGAAGGTGTTTATATTTTATAATTACTTGTCGATATAAAATTATTAATTATTTTATTTAAAATATATTAACATAAAAATTTTTATCTTAATATAATTACTTACATGTCTCAAACTTAATTAACACAGAATAAATTTATAAATTTACTACTTAATTTTAATATTGCCTAAATATAATGTTTTTACAGATCTATTATTGTATTTAACTATTATTGTGATAAAACAGATAATAATTAATAATGCTTTATATTATTAACACTCATTTTTCAACCATTTGTTTAAATTTTCTACTGTTTCTGTATTATAACTATTAATATAATTGATTATTATTATTGCAATACGACTGAGAAATGTCATAATTTTGGCTTCATATTTTCAATATAGCAGAATTCGAACAAAATGCAATTAATAAATTTTAAATCTTCAGTTTCTGTTTGAATAAATCATAGAATATGATGCCTATTGAATTCAATAGAATATGATGCCTATCAATATGGAAATGTTTAGGAGAAGCATTTACATATATATAACGTATAAAACGTAATACAAAAATTATCACTTTGTAAATGTGTATCGTAGCCTATCTATTATGAAGGGATGATTGGTTAATTGATATGAACACGAGTATGGATGGGTGTAATTTGCAATGGCATCGGTCCTAGCATGGATTAGGGATGGGAAATAATGCATTACGATGACTAAATTCCTGTTTTTATTTTTAATTTTAAACTAATTCGTAAGACTAGTTTCTTAAATTCACAAACATAAACAGCGAAGATACGAATAAAAACGATTTATATTTTAAATCTTTAATACTCTTTACACGTTTCAAACATTTATTTCTTTCGAATAGACATAAATACATTTTTGAAACATCGATTCTTTAATAACCACATTGTGACAGATTTCGTATTTTAAAGTAGTAACTGAGAAATAAAGAAGTTCTATTTTCTATACGTTTGAAATACCTGAATATAAAGTGACAATAAAAACTGAAAACTCATCGTAAATAAATTTTCATTTGTGTTTTTAATAATTAATTTCTCGTTTCTTATAGCATAAAAATTAAAAATTTTATATTTATTTTATGATTTCTTCTAAACTAAAAGTATGTTTCTTCTTATTATAAGTTTCTTGTCAAAATTGATGGTCTCAAATTCTTTCTTGTGAAAAAAGCAGAAATTTGCGAAATCTATCAAAGTTTTTTTTTCTTCTCAGCATGTTGTTGTTCCGCAAGATTATTGCGATTTGAGGTATTTATATGCAAAAAAAAGGAGCGCTGCTGGTGTGTTTTTTGTGCAGTTCGAATTTGGCATTCCTTTTTGTATAATTAAGTTAGTACTTGAAAGAATTAATTATTGGTTTAAATGTTTTTATTTAATTTACCATCATTGTTATTCTTATTTTGTTGGAGATTGGAGGTGTGGAACAGAATCGGGACCAATGTCTCGTACTTCTCTTCCCCCCATGGTAAAGGTTCGTCGTCCATCGGAAAACTTCGACGTTTTCCTACTGGTGTTAATTAATTAAAGATTTCACGTCTTGAAGATTATTTTCCGTCTCAGGAAGTGATTCTCCAATTCCCGAGAAATTTCTTTCTTTTTTGAAGAACAGTTCGAAATTATTTTGTCTAAGTTGGATGAATTGTCGTCAAAATTCGACTGGCTAACTAATTTGCATAAAGAACACGAAGAACGACTGACTGTATTGAAGAGAGCTAACAACGTTTAAATCAGTATGTATTGATAATTTTTCTATGCAGTCTTTTCTTTTTTTTTTTTTGTTGGATTCATTTCACAACGAATAATATAGTCATATCTGGTTTAATTGGCAATGATGAGGAATTAACAAATAACGTTACAGAATTTCTTAAGTTGATTAAAAGAGAAAACGTAGAATACATTTCTCCGAAAATTTGTTACAGAATTCCAAAAAACCAGTTTAATTTTAGTAGAATTTAATGGTTTGAATGATAAAAAATTGGTATTTAAAAACTTAAAACGAATTCAAGAGATTCGGATTTATTCTAGGGTTAAAGTTTTTGACGATTTGACTTTTAGATGTAGGATAAGGCTGGAAAAACTTTTGCTTCATTTTAAGAAGGCAAAATTTTTGAATAAAACTGCCTATTTAAGAGCCGATTGTTTGATAATACCTAGAAAATTTTACTTATAACTTGGAGACTAATGAGCTGCAGAAGATAGATGTGTTTTTTTAAGACAGAAATAGCACTCAGAAAGTTTAATAAGAGTTAAAATAGAGGACAGAACTGTTAATAGTTCTTCAGTGAGAATTTTTTCTTGGAACTGTCAGAGAACATTTAGTATGACTCTAAAAGGGCAAGAATTTGTTGAGATTCTGCAAACTTATGACGTTATTGCTATGGTCGAAACCTGGTTGACTTTAAAGATAAGATTTATATGCAAATATAAATTGTCTTCTATATGCGGACAATGTTCTTTTAATGACAAATTCAGTTGTGGCTTTTCGGGAGAGATTAAATATGCTTCAATAATACTGTCACAACAATCATTTAATGGTTAATTTATAAAAAAAAACGAAAATAATGATTTTTCGTAGAGGAGGCAAATTAAAAAATCAGATAAATTTTATTCGGAGAAACATAAGTTGGAAGCTGTTTCAAATTTTAAATATTTGGAATTTATTTTACTCTTCGTAATACTTTTTCTTTCCATTTGGAGAAAGCGATAATTGAGGCTAAGGTAAAAATCTTTATAAATTACTTGTCAAAATGGAAATATCGTCGCTTAATAACTATTTTAGATTATTTGATGTGTTAATTAGATCGATCATTTTATATGCATTCCGATTTGGGGGAAGTTGGTGGTTGATAAAGTGGAAAAAATACAACTATTCTTTTTTAAGCAGGGTTTTCGTCTAAATCGTTCTGTGCCTGGCCCCCGTGATAAGGATGATACTAGGTAGACCACTTCTCGCTGTGAGTTTATCACTGAATTTGCTTCGATTTTGAAAGAAAATTATTGCCTTGCCAGGAAATGATTACAAACAACTGATATATATTAATTAAACTTTTATCATCTAGTAAAACGGCACCGTGGGAAATGTTACCCACTACTATTGATAAATTGTTGAATAATCTTGATTATCGTTTGAAAGTTGTTTGGATTATCCTGACTAGGGTTTCTCATTTCCCGATCCTTTGCTTGTCCCGGAATTTCGAAAAAACGATATAATTAATTATTTTTAAGATATATTATTCGATTTCAAGATTTATTTTATAACTATTTTTCATTTTTTAAGTAATTTAATACGTCCTGCATCCTTCAAAATAATATTATTGATAATGCTGTGTAAAATATGTATTAAAAATTACCTTTTGAATTACGTAGAAATTTTCACAAATAAGAAAAAATTGATTAAAGTTTGCTGGAAACTGCTTACAACAAAAATGCTTTTGAATTGAATTGAGTTGAAAATTTAAAGGAAAAAAATAAATAAATAAACTTAGATCAAACTTCTAACTTAGAAGATAATTTTCGATTTTTAAAAATAAAACATATTATAAAAATTTATAATAATATTTTGTATTAAGATTTTAGAAAGCAAAGATGGTCAATATTCCGGTCACTCAGTTTGGTTCTTATTTTAGTAATGAAAAGTTCCGCTACCGAGATTGCCCTTTCCGATTCAATTGATGTGGATGGAATCGTCTTTAATGCATTTAAGAGAAGACAGATGATGTGTGTTTTCTCACCCGTAGCCTCGAATATTTCTAGTTCGTTTTCGACATGCGTTGAAGTACTACTTTTGCTGTGTAGTATTCTTGATTTGTCTACCTCGGCTACTTTAATAGCGGCATCAAACTTATAACCCGATATTCTGAAATTCGTTTGGCTTTAATCATCAGGTTTATGAAGAAAAACTTCATACTCGTTTGTATCCTTGCCCAATTTGCACAACTTGGCATAATGCAGTTATTGAAACTACTAGGCATGATTAAAAATTAAGACAGACAACAGTGCGATTATTCAAGATATTACCAGTTCTGACAAGTAAAGAATTTTGAGTGTCCTGCCACAAATAGGCTACATATTGATTATTAACAATCTGTGACATGCAAAAATTTAAAAAAAACTAATAAGCAGGCTTAAAATTAATAAATACAAATGTATTCTGACAGTTTGAGTTAATTATACTTTCTATTTGCAAAAGTTTCTCAACCTTAACACAAAATAAGAAAAAAGTAAATTTTTAAAAAATTTGCGGGATTTCCCGGGATGAGAAGAATTTCTCGGTTTTCAGGATCCCGGCTGTTTTTTAACCCGAGAGAGGGAGTTCTAATCCTGACGAGAGAGTTTTTTAACAGATTGTGAACAAAAGTTGAGAGATACATGGCATATACTGACAACAAGATGTTTATTTGCAGGAGAAAGATTGGGGGAAGGTGGGGCAAGATGAGAACGTTAAGGTTTGAAAAGTCATAACATGACAACCACTTTGATGAGAACAATAATTTTTTTATTCTCGGCAACTACAACATTTGATAATATATAATACATAATTTAATTTTTGAAAAACGTTTCTAAAAACAAGAAAATTTAATATTTTAAAATGATATGTAAATGCACCATCTTGCCCACACGTGGGGTAAGATGGGGATGATATTTTTATATACAAGAAAGACAAATTATAACGGTTAAACTGTCGTTTTCTTCAATATTGGCGCAAGAACAGTGTGCCCATTTATCACAACGGCTACAGTTAGCCCAACTCTGTAGATACAGAGTATAACCGTCCACAATAGAGGCATTCTGTGTCATTTGTCTTTTGTTTCTTGTTAGGCCTACCCTTGCTGAAGGGGCCTGTTTGTCGTCTCTGCAGCAATAAAGTCTGCCTCCGAAAATACTTCTGGATTCATAGGTCATATTCATGGTCAACCTGGGGCTAGACGGGTACCCCATCTTACCCCAAAGTACACTTTTCATACTGACTGCAAACACAGGTAAACTTTATTTCAAAACTAAACAATTACAGTCTTAAAGGTTACTTCGAATACCATAATATCTTCATCTAAAAGTTAATGTAAAAGTTCATAATGATACTTACTTTATAGAAACTTTTTAGCAGGCGTAAAATTATATGAAGTATTGTTGAAACATGAAAAACTGTCTTACTTCCAAACAAAGAGAGCGATTTGGACGTTCTCTCGCTCCATGATCCCTTTTGAAGTAGACATTTAGTTCCCCAAATAACAGCTAGATAAAAGCGCATTAACCACAAATAAACAGACGTCCCAGTCTTTCCCCATGACCCTATCTTGCACCACCTTCCCCTATATAATCTTAAAATCCTAGGTAATATTTCTTCATTCCTTGGAGTTCTTCGATTTACTTATTATCTAATATAAATTATAAAATTAAATCACTATTTATTCAACTTCGTTTAAACGAATATATTATTACTTTAAATGGCAAAAGAATCAACGTATCAAATAACGCTGAATGTTCATTCTGTAAGATGACGGTAGCGACGATGGTCAATTACTTGTTTACGAGTTGTGATTCTCTTTATGAAATAAGATTTCATATTTTTGGGATTGATTACAACTATATTAATTTATTAGCGAGGTTGAGGCCGAAGTTTTAAACGCAAAAACGTGTACGTCGGACGTTCAGCGCCGCTTTTCTGTAAGCCTAGAAGTTTGACAATGGTGTTTGGATAGTCAGTGGAATCATGTTCGACATTACAAACACCATTGTCAAACTTTTAGGCTTAAAGGAAAGCGTCCGACGTACACGTTTTCGCGTTTAGAACTTCGGCTTCATCCTCGCTATTGGAAGAATTTTCCAGTACGACTATGCTTTATAAATTGTATAAGGTTTTTGTACAATCACTAAAATTATTGTAATAATATTATTCACTCACCTCCTTATAAAAGTAATTTGCTAAATCAATAAAAGGTATTTATTATTATTATTTTATTATATGCAAAAAACCGGCTCAAGATGGTTTAGAGCAGAGATTGCAAACTAGCGGTCCGTTAAGGCTTCATATCCGGTTTGCGGCCTCGATTTCTAAAAAATCAACGTTTCTAACGTCTTGCAAGAATTAAAACAGAAAAAATTCAAATATCTGATGTTTACGTAAGTTGTAAAAGCCTGATAATAAAAGGGCCTTTGTTAGAGCCTTTTTTAAAAATTACAGTATGTTTTGGTTTACCGAAAAATAATGAATACGGCCCGCGTCTGATATACGTTTATTTGAGTTTGAGACCCTTGGTTAAGAGCATATAATTCACTCAGGTGTTGGCGGTACTGAAGAACTAAATATTTTCACAGTTTATATCAAAATATTTTTCTTTTTCATAATGGCGTAATTAAATTAAATTGTGATTATTTGTGTTTNTAGAAAAAAATTCAAATATCTGATGTTTACGTAAGTCGTAAAAGTCTGATAATAAAAGGGCCTTTGTTAGAGCCTTTTTTTTAAAAATTACAGTACGTTTTGGTTTACCGAAAAATAATGAATACGGCCCGCATCTGATATACGTTTATTTGAGTTTGAGACCCTTGGTTAAGAGCATATAATTCACTCAGATGTTGGCGGTACTGAAGAACTAAGTATTTTCACAGTTTATATCAAAATATTTTTCTTTTTCATAATGGCGTAATTAAATTAAATTGTGATTATTTGTGATTAGCAGCACCGTTGCTTGCACAGATAAAGTGTATATTCGTAACTGTGCCAACTGTGTATACTTTTCTTTATAGATCTATGCTTATAGACACCATCTGTTGAGATTGCGAATGAAGACACAGTAATCCAATTTATTATATAAATGTCTACTAAGGACACAAAGTCATATGAATTAACACAGTAATCCCTTTGCTTCAAAATTGCGTTTCGTATGCGCTGGTTATTTTAAACAAAAATGTTTTTCTCTGAGATTGTATTTTTTTACTCTTTTTTTTTCTTACTGTTACCAAATTATTGTTCACACGTACCCAAAATTTTTCTATAGCCATATTTTGGTGTTTGCACAACGCTTTTTCTTGTTCCATTTCAAGTAAAACGATAATCGGGAACAGAAATTAATTTTAGTTTTCGTTTTCAATTTTGAATATTTTCAGAAATGAGGAGCACATCTCTGTACACTCACAAAAGGAAGCCGCCACAGATTTCAGTAATAATATACAGTATTTGTATAGAACCTTTATTGAGCGAAGGGAGAAACGTTTTAAAAGAAATCGAAGTTTAAAAACTCCCAAGTGACTTATGAGTTTGCTTTGTGTAACCTTTCAACGAGAACTCTGTATCTTGGCAGCACCATATCTGACTGATAATTGCTAGATCGTTAGTTCGCATATCTACTAGTAAATGTTTTTTTAAATCAATGCAATTTTACAGTATATAAAATAATTATAAATTACATGAATTTATGCATTGGCTATTTATTTTCTATTTAAAAAAATGTAAATTTTCTTTCTTTAAAAATTTACTTTCGAAATTTCTGTATGTTAAAAGTAAATTTAAAGCATTTTTTTCATTTAGGAATGTAAGAATATCTTGAACAACTTGACATTTTAAACAATTAAATAAGCGCAAAAACTTATTAGTTGTTACTAATTTTCGAATATCGTATTAAATTGTTATATGTGAAGATAAACAATCATCTTTCGATGTCGTTTCTTATTGTTTACATCATCAAAGCTTATAAAACAAGCAGGCAATAAAAGTAAATTAAAATTATGATTTTATCATTCTTATGTTATAAACTATAAAATAATTTATTTTTAACAGACAACAATTCCGAAAACGTTTCAGAAGCTTGTTTTCTCCTTTTGCTCAATAAAAGTTTATACCAAGGCTTATCCATACACAATATTACTGAAATCGGTGACGACCACGTCGAACAAACCTCTATAAAATCACACACATTCTTATTTACTCTTAAAAAGATTATTCTAATTTAGTAAATTTTAATGTGTAATTTTTATTCTTATAAATTTTATTTATTTCAAAATTAATTAAATGTATATTTTTAAATTTTATTTCAGAGAATCATAAATCTCATATGTGAAGAAAAATGAAAGAATAACGACAATTTATTTGAGTATAAATTTATATTATTTTTAAATAATTAAATATTGCGTGTCTTTTTTAATTTTTTAATTATTATTTTTATGTTTGAATATAATAAAAATGTTAAATAATAATGAAAACATTTTCATTTTATAATCAATTTTTTTATGTAAGATTTTTTGATTTTTTAATTGATGTAAGATTATGTAACACTTTGATTTTTAAAATATAAAATTATATTTAAAAATTAAAAATTAGTTAATATTCTAATGTAAAAAAAAAACTATTAGTTATACGTTGTCTACATTTACAAGTCATTCAGACGTTTTTATTTAATCTTTCAAAATATTTGATAATATAACCTAATCCTAGATGATAATATAATTAATATTTCATTAAAATATATTGATATATTCAACCGATTTCAATATATTAAAAAGTTAAATAAAATTCTGTTTATTCAAAGAAAAATTTAAATTTACACCGAATATGAAAATCTAATACGTGAATTCATAAATATATGCACTTTAGGGAAATTAAATAGGCATGATTTCAAACAAGAAAAGTAGATTTGAGAGCTTTAACTTGATAACAATGTTCAATACGATATTTTAAATTATTTTTAGTGTCGATATTGAATGATATTTAACATACACTAATTAGATCTCCTCATAAGCATGTGATAAAATAAAAGACTTTAATTTCAAAATTTAAGAGATAGACTAATTATAAATGCATAGAATTTAAATTTATTCCGTGAAACACTGTTTACTGTAAGGTGGCCTTAGCTTTGCCCAGCAGGAGCGAATTTGATGTAAATAATCAGTCGCCAGATTCGAATTCCGGTGTTCTATACTACAATGAAACATCTGACATCTCTCAGATACCAGATTAGCATAAATTTGACAATTCTCTAAATGAATATTAAGAAAGACTTGAATATTCTATGTAAACAAAAACTCTTGCTATTAATCTTTTATTGGAAGTTTTCTACAGGACGATTCGCTCGGGACTGTTGAATACCTCATGATTCCACAGCCACATTTGAATAACGTGTAATGTAAATCGTACCTTGATCGACTTGCTTCGTCATGAGATAAAGAATTGTTCTGTTTGTATTTCATGCTCATCTTTTCATTTTATGCGCAGACATTTCAAGTGTTCAGTCCCTAGTGAATGATCCTGAATGTAATGAAGAGAGGAAAATGAAAAATTTCCAACAAAACTATAATATCTTAAAAATAAAGAAACAGACACATTTTTATTTTATGGAATTTATGATTTTTATTTACATGAAGTTTCTGGATTTTATGATCTCACAAATTTAATTCGTATAAAAGCATTAGTGGGCGATAATGTATTTGAGTATAAAATCCTCATTTTTGTTTCGTTTTTTTATGAATTTTTCTGTTAATAGTTTTTCATAATATTTTTTTACGACTAAGTTTAATAATGAAATTGTTATGATTCTTCGTCGTTATTCTCGCTGAAACCCAAGACACCGGATACATTTATGTGAGGAAATGCTCGAAAGGCATAAGTACATTGTACTTTGCACACGTTGTCTGCTAGAATTGCTTCTTTAGAATAGGTACTTGCTAACTTGTAACAGTTAGTCACTTTTAATGATTGGCATAATGGCTGTAAGCAAAAATAATTTAGTTTTTAAGATATTTTAAAAGAATATCATCATATATTATAATACAGTATTTAGTCTTTATTGTTTTACTTACACCTTCTTTGCTACAAGTACACATAATGCACGGCGACACTCTTCCAGCTTTTCCAATTTCAATTTCCACATTTCCTACGTTACACGAAACACTTTCTTTCCATTTTAAAAGATCAATCGATGGAAGCATTTCGCATGGTATTCGGGGATTGCTAATGTACAGTACATTGTCTAATTAGAATTCCTGTTTTATATTTTAAATTTTTCTCTAGTTTTTTTTTAATTTTTAATTTGTACATCTATAGGATGTGGTTGGAAGATATAGTAAATATTTCATGGCTTTACTATATAAACATGTTAAAATTTCATAAACGAATACGAATTGCGACTTTCGTTTATGGTACAAGTTATTTATCAATTAGCAAGGATACTTACAGGAAATTATCATGTAGATCCAAAGCATTTCTTTGTACGAAGTCTATATTGTCTGAATTTTCGCAAACAATCTTCGATAATCTTATTTTTCGTATTTCTGTTAATTGTTCTGAAATTTATATAACAAATTTTTGATTATTTCATATTTAAATAATAATGTTTCGGTAAGTAAGTCTTGATTTTGTGCCTACTGTTAGGCTTCCATTTTCAGTTAAGAGAAATAATAATATTTTCCTAATAAATCCACAGTTTACCTTTTAAACGTTTTTATTTTACATTATATTATCTTATAATCAGTGGTTAAACACCGTAATTCTATATATATAGAAATTAAATATTTTCAATCAAAATAATAATTTTTAACATTAAACTTACAAATACAGTAAAACCTCTTTAAGAAGATCACCTCTAAAACTTAGGAAAACTGGTCATTTCAAGATGTTGTCTTGTTAAAGGAGTTGACGAAAATATAATGAATACAGAGTACAGTACATTATAGTATTCTACTTTAGTGTAACAGTACACAGGCTACTGCTTAGGTATAGAAAAAATTATTTAAAAAGCGCTACGTATTGATTAAAACTAGGCTATAAGAATTAGTTAATATATCTCATATAATTCAGTGAGCTGTATACAAAAATATACTGCATACAGTCTTAAATACGAGTACTTGAAAATAATCTGAAATAATCTTTTGTTTCCGTTGTTTTAACTGTTTCATAATATGATACCTTCAATATTTCTTTTTTATTTGGCCAAAGCAAATCCTTCTTTCAGGCCAAACGGATTCCAAAAACCATCCAAATCTGTCGTCGTCAATTATCATTTTACTTATTCCTGTTAATGAAAAGATACGAAAGATGGTTCTTGCTATATTACAGGAATCCCTTGATCAACGCAGTTAATTAATCCCTCGATCCTACCGCGTATATCAAAATCGAGTTAATTAATATACGGTATCTATGTTAAGTAAAGACAACTGGTAAAGCCGCGTAAATTAAAATTACTGCCGCGTATACAGAGGGGTTGCCGCAATTAATTTCGCGCGTTAATCAATTTCCGCGTTAAGCAAGGGATATTCTTATAGACCAGGGCTTCTTAAACTTCTTTTACTCACGACCCCATTTATGATTGTGATTTTTTTCGCGACCCCCCAAATATATATATATATATATAAAAGCTATAGAAAACTGTGTTATAAACGTAATACTAAACTTTTATATAGATTTATTAAGAATATTACGTAAAAAAAGTCACAGTCAAGTCATCCCAAAAGCTCCACAGTGCTTTTCCCCCCTCTATTTATGCAGGGAAGTTTACATGACGTTTTGTTAAAGTATGAATTCAGCTTTTTAGTTCCAAACATGAAATATTTTGTCAAGTTTAAANATTTTCAAACTCTCACAAATTATTTTCAATATTTTGCATTAAAATCTCGCGACCCCAAGATTTCTCTAAGCGACCCCAAATGGGGTCGCGACCCATAGTTTAAGAAGCCCTGTTATAGACTGACTTTTGTTGAGGATATTAACAGAAAATTGCTTATCTTCTCCACGATAGGATTAAACATGAGAAAATAAAGACATGGAAGTTAGAAAAAAAGGATTGATAGAACTTTTGCACCTAATGTAACAGTGCAACATACCCAACATTGTATGTATATTGTATAGATACGTGTCCATGATTTTGATTTTATCATAAAACGATGTTCGGCTTAATTAAGGAGAGAACATTGAGTCTTATGATATAAAAATTCTGTTCTATGAAAACTGATCATCTAAATGGGTGGTCATTTGGAGAGGTTTTACTGTAAATGTTTTAATTGTGGTAACAATTTGTAATTAATGATTATAAAAAATTAATTACCTTCAGTAAATCTCACTAGGGAGTTGGATGTTTCATACCAGAATCTATCGCATTTTCTTAAACGATGAAATTGTAAACCAATAATGCAACCTAAAGTTGGTCCAACTAAACCGCCGTGTAAAGGAGTTTCTACTAAACCACCAGTAAAGAGATCTATATCTTCTACATTCCTATGAAAGTTTTTAGATTTTTAATTTTTCAACCCTCGATAAATATTCCTTTAAGATATTCACTTACTCATAAACATGCTTCAATCTATTTATTATATGAATGGGAATATTATCCACCAAATCATCAAAGTTTCCGACTGTGGACATATTGCAGACACGCCTGTAATGTACATAAGGTGGAACTCCGTGATCTCTACCACGTTGAAGATTTAAGGATGCTAGATCCATTCCTGAGAATGGAACTTTGTTATCTTCAAACAAATGATTAGTTACTTCTTCTGTGATAGCGTTATCGAACGTTTCGATACTGGATGTTAATAATCCTCTTAGAATATTATCTATAGTGTCATCTGTAACAATATTAAATTAGTATATTTTTACTACTAATTTATATAAATGCATTATAGTTTCAAACCTTCATATAATATATCTGGATTGAAAAATGCAGAGCGCAAACGGATCGGAGTTGTCATGGTCAAGTAGCCTTTTTCTACTCTTTCAAACATTGGTCTTAATAAGGTATGACCCAGTCGAAATGCAGCTGATGAAAATTCGTTGTGAATTGTTGCATCACATTCGGGATCGTAACCGTCATAATATCCATCATTTATTAATTCTAAATCATATTTTTTGACAGCTTTTCTACCTAAAAGTCTTGGTAGAAATTCGTTATATGTGATGTGTTGTAATACTGCTGATAGGATCCGTCTTCCTATAGAATTTTTTTTTTTAATTTTAATTTTCAAATATTTTTATCATGGATATAATAATTATAAAATTCGTACCATTTTGGTATAATTGTTCATCATCCCAATGAATATTCACTCTTGCTAATGCCTTTACTATCCTATTATGTTCTCTCAAAAATATTGTATGCATCGATGTTAATGCTGGTTGTTCGCTCGCTCTTAAATCACCTAATTTTGCAAAATTTAACTGAGAAAATGTTTTTAATTATTCAAAATATCTATATTTAGTATCTTCACTCACCTCCTTCGAAACACACTCCTGAAGGAGATCTACATTCCGGGTGAGTGGCCGTTTGAGGAAGGAAATCTTTCTTTCCCTTAGGATGGCGAGTTACGTTGAGTCGACCTTCAATAAACGATCTTAACATTTTGGCTTCGCAAATTTCAGATCCATAAATATTAGATGCATCCAAAAAAGAGGTGACTTGATTCATTTGTTCTCTTCTGCCTATATCGTTGGATATAATTATGATTTTTATAAATAGACTATATTTATTTATTTTTATTTACTGCGCGGTTTGATTCTATGTAGTAATATTATCGATATTAGTGATAATAGTAAGTAATAAATTGAATAATACTCTATGTACAAGTATATATAGGGCATTACTCTCTCATAAATTTAACTTTACAGACACAAAATATATTAATCATCACTTGTAATCAGCAGTAAAAAATATGTCAAAAACAGGGAAAAACTTTCAATTGGATTATTCAAATATTTATTATAGTTAAATTGAATCAAATTAAATTATGACTAATTGGATTGCTGTAAAATAAAAACAATTAAATTAAAATTGCAATACGATAGAATACTACTACTGCTGATGCTTACAGGGCAAATCGCGGAATATTTGTTTTCAGATTGCCTCAGACTAATATGCACGTTCAATTTACCATTATTCTCTATTAACTTGCATCAATAGCGTTAATTACATATATACTTATACTAATTATGATAAGCTTCTTGGAGAATACATGCAAATGGCGATTAATTGCAACTTATTACCTTAAGTTAAGTTGTGTTTCTCAGATTTTTCACGCTATTTCCAGTAAGCTACAAGCGATATTAATATTGATAGTTTTATTTCTTTAGACCTAAAACTTCATTGCAATAAGTTCTTTTCATATTTGTACAGAAGATAAAAAAATAATATTATGCAAAATAAATCTGATTTAATTATCTTTCCGCCCCTTGTGCAATTGTTTCTACGACATACAAACCTTGTTTTTAAGAAAAAATGTAATAAAAATTAATTTTGGAAATATTTTTGATTTGAGAGAAATTGGACTGACAGAACAAAAACAGATATCTTTTTCGTTTGTTTCAAATGAATTTATACTTACTGTAATTTTATTTAATTCTTTATGTTAGGACTTTGCTGAGCGCAGTTGCTCATGACTCATTTAAATGATTTTATTAATGATTAAAATAGCGTTATAACGTTAATCAACTATTAATTGGACTTTCATAAGAAGTATCTATTTTAATCATTAATAAAATCATTTAAATGAGTCATGAGCAACTCGCGCTCCGCGAAGTCCTAACATACTGGTCCCGGGATTTTGGCAACGTAATTTTACTTTCCTATTTTCTCTTTAGTGCCATTTAGTGCCATTTTGCAACTCTAATTAAGCAGATATTCGTGAAGAACATTCAACTAAACTTGACAAGTGAAAAGATACAAATAAACTATATATTAATATAACTATTTTGCATATCAACAACATATATTACAGTATTTTAGTATCTAGTGTACTGATGGTTATGAAATAGGTTGTTACTTGCGGCCCGCGTACAGAAAAACTTTCTCATCAGTAATTTAAATAATAATTTACCTAAGGTAAGTTGTCCAGATAATGATCTTGCAAAGGATATACATGTTGGCTCGCCCGTTTTGTTGTCCACAGCAGGATAATATGGATCATTTTTTGGTACTGGAATTGGCCAACATTCGGGATGTACTTTTTTAGAGGAATTGCAATCCTTGCAATTAAGTACTACTCCACCTATACCTATTCATATTAAGAAAATCTTTTGTATTTCTATTGTATTCATTAAAACAATAAATAAAATGTTAATATAATTACATAGTTTTTATTTAATTTAGTTCATCTTAAATTATATGAGAATAAGGAAAAATTAACTTATATTACTGTGAAATTTTAATTTAATTATTATTATTTTTGTTTCTTTATGGATATTTTAAAAAGAGAAATCGTGTAATTTTCTATAATGAAATTTATTATTTCAGAATATTTATATATGCATTATATATTTCAACGAGATAGGAATGATATATTAAATATATATTTCAGTTTACCCCATTTTTTACAAAAAATACCTTTACAAATATATCACGATTACTAAGAAAACGTTCGTCAGTGTTAAAATACTTACGAAACTCTTTTAAAATATATATATTTTATTTTAATTGAAATATTATAATATAATGTACTTGTTCCTTAATCGATAACTTTGATATTTTTTGCTTCAAGTGGATATATAATCTGGTATTTTGATCATCATATAAATTGATGTAGTAGTGAAAATATCGGAATGGATGTAAATTTATATACCTGTACAGTAGTAGTTCATTAATCCGGTACTCGATGATTTGGAATGTCCGGTAATTCGGAACGTTCTGATATATTTTCTTTCCCACAATCCAATGCGAGAACAGTGCACCCCAAAACAGATTTCTCAACCCCGGAGCATATTTGGCTTTTGTACATGTCTGGGAAAAAATATTATATGCACATGATTGTAAATGTTGATTTTTGTGCAAATAACGTGTTCATTAACATTCTTGTAAATTTTTCAATTAATCTTAACACAGCATACTCTATGCTGTTTTCATACTGATTAAAGAGCGTGAGAAAACAAACCAGATATAGCAGTATATAGAGATGCGCTGGTATAAAACGTATAGAAATAACTACAAGGTTCAGATCGCATATTACTTACGGAATTTTACAAAACTACAAAAACGTCCGATAATCCGGACCCCTCTGGTCCCGTTGATGCCGGATCAAAGAACATCTGCTGTATTTTGACAACTTTAATTGAAGTAAAAATTAATTTAACTATGTTGTTAATAGATGTCAAAGTTTAATAATAGATGTTCAATTTATTTTCATATTACTAAATAGACAAAGAAAATGAAATTATTCTGTACAATAGTAGGTCTATAACAGTTTGTATTTTGATTATTTCGTCGCGAAATGTCAATGTAATATAGTTTATATGGCTGGCCTCAATTTTTCCCGTTACGGACAAATTTGACTCACAACACTATTGCGAGTCAAATTTTGGTGAGGAATGAGATATAATATCCTACCCGGAATTACTCCGATTCTTATTAGCATAGGGTAGCCCTCACGATACGCTACCCTCATGAAAAATCATTAGGTTCCAGATAGTACACGGTGAATACCCGTGTGGTCATCTGGTCACCTATAAAAAATACGATATAATCCATTCGTTTACTAAATTATGCATCTTTTTACTTATTATATTATATTTTAAGAATAAAATTACCTTCATTCATTGGAGTGAAAGTCAAGTCGTGATCTAAAAACTGTCCCCATTGCATCAACATTAATGAATAACGAAGATGCGGTGCGCTGATATCGTAGTGAACATTAGTAGAGATATATCGAGGAGAAGGTAGCAACGAACCTGATTTTCCTCGTGTTCGTGGTGAGCTAATACCTATAATAATTCACAACGTTACATATTATATACATATATTAAAATAAATAATAGTTTATTAATCACGAACAAATTTATCCTTATACCGTCATCGTACAATGGTGGCAACAGTCGACGAAATATTTTCGTACTCTTTCCAAATTCGGGATGTCTGAGATTATTGCACCATCCCGTTATGGTACGAAACTTTGTAGTGTGATCGCAAGGTAGAGTTTGTTCGTCGCATTCAAAAACACGAGGTATGTCTATCAATTCGGTAACGTCGATGCTAGGTAATTCTGATACTAATTTGTTGATATCGTTTGATAGTCCTCGTTGTTCTTCTTTGTCTCTTTGAATTCTGCAAAAATGATCCGAACTGTAAATTATCCTGTTAATTTCTAAAATTGTTATATTAATTCTGAGTTACACTTACGACTGATCTTTAAAAACTTTCATAAATCCTTTAGAAGCGAGTTCCAGAATCAATGAATGATTAGATATAAGTCGAGTTTGGCGCTTTGGTCTTAAAAATCCCCAATGCATTACTTGAGGACTTTTTGCTTCTGCTATTCCAATGTCTAGAAAATAAGAAAAAATATTAAAATTCTATGCATACTTTAATGTGGAAGATCAGATTTATTTCGTCCTGACTTAAATTATTCGTTATTTACATGATAATCATATCAAAGTTTAACATCAGTAAAATATTTTAAGTGATTTTAATTTCAAAAACAATTTTAAGAACTATAAATTCCTAACTAGAATTCCCATTTCATGAACTATGAATTCTAATTAGGAATTCAAAACATTTCCCTATAATCGGAATAAAATTGAAAAATTATGATTAAATATACACATTCATCCACCATAATTTGAATCACTTTTATTCTAATTATTAACAAAGTTAAAATATAAATTATCAACGGAAAATATTTACGATTAGCAAAAGTTTCCGATTCTGCTACTTTTAAGTCATTCATGAGTCTTACTGCTGATACTAAAGAGGTCTTTAATAATGTGTTTGATACCATAAATGGTGGAGAAGCTGTTGAATTAATAATAAATTAATTACGAAAACAATCTTCATTAATCTTAATAATTTATATAAATAGAATAAATTTACTCACAAGATTTCCATTTTGTTAGATCTACAGAAGGTATGTCTTCAGAGTTGCATGTTTGGAAAGCATTCCTATAATATTCGATTAAATTAAACTAATAATCATAAGATTGAAATTTAATATTAATTAAACATGACTTACAAGAAATTATCTGTCAAATACATTGTCGAAGGTTGTATAAATCCTAGTTTTGTATCTCCATTATCGCATAATATTCTAGCTAATGTTACTTTCCTCAATTCAGCTAATTGTTCTGTAATCAAATAATGCATTATTTAAAAATGAAATTTAAAAAATTATTTGTTTTATATTGAAAAATAATAACCTCTACTGAACGAAGATGGTGGAATATCATTCTCATACCAAAATCTATCGCCTCTTCTCAGAGCATGAAATTGGCGACCGAGAAGACAAGAAAACGTTGGTCCAACCATTGCTCCTCTTAAAGGAATTTCCGCAAGTCCGCCAGTATATAAGTCTATATCAGCTACATTGCTAAAAAATTTCGCATTAGATTACTAAACGAGGATCTAATATTTTAAATATTTACTAAATATTATTATCGAGCAGTGAAGAGATAAACCACATTTTAAGAATATCATTATTTATATCAGATAACTGATTTTTTTTCTGTTCTCTATATCTTTAAAAAGATAAATGTAGGCCTGCATAATTTAATTCATATCATTCCGTTAAATAATACTTGTTTTTGATTCTAAATAGGTAAAACGTAGCAAGGTAATTTACATGGAATTTTGCTATTTTCTAACTTTTTTTCGTTTCTATGAGGCAGTGATATTTTACTATGATTATTAATCGTTTATGTGTTCAATATAGACTAATGGATTAATCACCCGGAAATATTCATAGGACAAATCGTTCAGAATATTCTTCATGATCATGTGTTTTCACGTTAGAACTGTATCTTACCGATTTCAGAGTCGAAAGTTAATAACAATGCAAGTCTTAAAAAAGAAAATATGGTATTCCTTGGTTATCATAAATATGACATTGCTTTTTAAGGTTGAATATCACGTAGTTCTGTATTAAGATGTAAAGTTTTAGGCCTATATCATATAATCAATACTTTGAAAACTATAAATGATGAGAGAAACAGTATTTTCGAAGTAAATTTTGTCACCAAAGTTTTGAAAACCAACAAAAAATAAAAAAAACCCAAAAGTTGTAAATAAATATATTTGACAAGACTTGCATTACTGTAGCTTTCCAGCTTTAATACTTAAACGTTTATTAACTGTAGATTTGACACAGTTAATAAGCTTTAAATATTGGACACAACGAAGTTTTTTCCTCTATAAATCTGTATATTTAGTGATGCTATGCTATTCTACAATGTTAGCTACCATTAACTCTCTCCAACATCATCTCAGTCTCCCCTTCCTCTTTCCTTCTGGTTGCCAATTTTTAATCCATTTTGCTATTTTTCCATCTGTCATTCTATTCATATATTCTAACCATTCAATTTGTCTCTTTGATGTCCAATAATTTATTGCCTGTGTGTTACAATCCTTTTTTAAGATCATCATTCCTTATTTATCCACTCAAGCTCTGTCTAATATTTTCCTCAATGTCATCATTTCACATTTGCTCTCGTCGTCCACTGCAAATGTTGCTATTGTTAACTGAATGTTAATTTTTATTATGTTACGATCTGTGACTATTTTCATATGTATTCAATACATAACAATATTTCTCCACACTCTTCGTTTTATGCAAGAACATTACAGTGACTAACGTTCTATAGCAAAAACGATTATCCTTAAATTGTGGCTTACCAACACGTTACTCTACCAGTTTAAATGAATTTATTTGTTTTACTTGTAAATTTGAGCAAGTCTTAGTACAGTTTTATTGGACATAACACTACGAAGATCGTTCATATTGGTAATGTGAGGTTTTAAATTGCAAAACCTTCTCCATTCTAAATAGCCTGGTATTCCGTGATCTCTCCCTTGTTGAATGGTCATTGCAACCATATCCAAACCAAAACCTAAGCGTTATTTTTAATATATTTAATTAATGACAAATTTCACAATAAAAATTAATATATTTTAAAATATAATTGAAAAATTGTATACAGGCCAATACTTACCAGATTTAGAATCAAAAAATATATTATTTGTCATTTCATCAGAAATAAATTCATCCATATTTTGAGCATTCTGACTAATTAAACCCAACATGTATTCAGTAACTCTATTTATATTGTACATATCCGTAGGTTGATAATAAGTCTTTCTCATAGGTGTAGATCCGACTTTTTTATATTCAGTTGTATAAAGATCAAATTTTGATGGCATCATGGATAACAAGAAAGGTAAGACGGCCGTAGCTACCGAATTAGCTACTCCTGCTTCGATATTAATATCATAATCTAAATAATAGCCTGAATTAAGAACTTCTAAATCATATTCTTTCATTGTTTCAATTCCTAAAATCGAAGGAAGTAATTCGTTATATGTGATGTGTTGTATCTATAAAACAAAAACTTTCAGTTTAAAGACTGATTATCTTTAGATACTTTTTGAAAAATTTGCATTTTAAAGAAAATATTTATTTAACTCACTTCCGCTCCAACAATTCTCCTCGATTCTTCGAATAAATGATCGTCATTCCAATGAGGATTTAAATCAGCAAGATTATGAGCAATACGATTGTGTTCCCTCATCCAAATAGTATGCATTACCATAAGTCCTACATTTTCATTTACTCTTACATCGCCTACAATATATAAAAATTTTATCTATAATAAAATTTTTTCAGTTAATTTAAAAATAAAAGAAATCTGGATGCTTATGATAAGCAACTGCGCGAAAGAAGCCACCGAAATTTCAATATCAGACTGTTCAATGAGAGGGAGAAAAAAGAATATTTGAAAATATAAAAGTAGACATACCTGATACAAAGCATTTTTGCCTTTCATTATTCATACAGTCAAAATAATCTTCTTCTGGTGGAAGTAATTCACTTCCTAATGACGACTTTTGAGTCCTCAATTTTCCTCTATCGAAAGTTCTCAGAAATCTGGATTCTCTTTGGGAAGAACCATAAATAACTGAACCGTCTAAATAAGAAGTAACCTGATTGATCTGTTCTCTTGGACCTAAAGTGCACCCAGTTCTTGGTACCGGACTGGATCTGACATAATCCATGCATTCATGTTTTGTACTTCCCGTTTTAGAATCAATTACAGGAATTGGAATAGGATAACATTCCGGATGAAAATATTCCAATTGCACTTGGCAGCATTTTATTCTATGTCCTCCATAACCTAAAATATACGAAATACCCATTTAAATAGAAATTTTACTCTATATTATTATTATTATATATATATATATATATATATAGAAATTCATTATTTATTCACCTGCACTTTGAGAAGTATGTGATATATCATGATATACGAATTCTCCAAATATTGTCAATATAGCAGTAACATGCGGATGAGATCTGTCTGATTCTGTATGTACTTCTAAACTAATTTTCCTCGCACTCGGAAGATAATCACCAGTAATTGATTGTCTCGGTACACTGATAGCTGTTTAAAAAATAATGTTATAACATTTTATAGTTGCCATAAGTACCATTATATTTATAATATTTACCGTCGGCATAATTGGGTGGAAGATATCTGAGATATCTGGTATTAGCGTTTCCCCAAAGTGGATTTTGAACGTTGTTGCAGTGTCCGCTATACGACCGATATTTTCCTGGTTGACATGGAAAATCTACAGTTATTGGACACTTTGTATATAACAGAGTACCTCTTATATCCATCGTTGGAATGCCATGTGTAATCTGATCTCGACTTAATCTGTATCTGCACAGAATTTGAATTAGGGTTTATATATAAAAACATTTAAATCAGCGAATTACTTACTTTTGTACTATGAGTTTAGTTGTTTCTTCGGACAAAAGAGCTACATTAGAATAATTTTTAGCAATTACTTTTGTTTTTGCCGATGCAGCAGCGAACCACGCTGGAGTTCCTGGAAGCTGGAGAACTCCTTTGAAAAATCAAATAATTTCCATTTAATAATCAATATTTTTAATTATAATTATAAACTATAAGAAAATATATCTCTTTTCAGGTTGCATAGATTTATTAGAATCGACAGATATTTTGTATTTTTCTTCACTAATTTCATTGATGACGAATTATCATTAATAAATACTTTTCAAATTATTAACAAATGATGGATTTCATAGGCTATATGTATAGAAAACATATTCATTATGTGAATAATTTACTAATTAAATATAGTTATATATATATTCTGGATGAGAGATATACAACATAATTTAACAGTATACAAATATTTTAATAGTATAATTTTATTAAGTTGGGATTTTTTATTAAGTTATTGCCAAAGATAATTTTTATATTTTGATTAATATTATTTGTGTCTAGTAATATATAAAACAATGTTTTGTTCAATTACAATTATCATCTAAAGATAATTTTATACTTTTTTTTTATTTTGTCTATTAATATTACATGCTTTCCATGTAACTTGCACCAACTCAAAAGTCACAAAGTTTGGTCTTATTGTGCACTTTTACGCGTTATCTAGTTATTTGTATAAAAAAAATTATGAAACGAATTTATATATATTTAATTTATAAAGAATTAGTAAATGTTCATCTTTTAAAACAAGAGGAAATTTAACTAGTTTATTCTTCACATTGTTCCTCTTCAACTACAGTTTTAGCTTATAACTTTTTGCTGTTTATATTAGTGAATGTTGTTATTTCTTTATTCAGTATATTTTCTCCAAAGATGATATGTTTAGATAAATCTAGTAGACAAAATACTTTTTGTCAAAAAGGTTAATAAGCAAACTAATAATGGGAAAATAATAAACAAAATCTCTGTGGGTATCTAAAGACTGAACAAAATATGAAGAAAACGTATAGTATAAAATAACCATTTCCATTCTGAATTTCTTCAAATTTGACTTTCATTACTTCTGAAAATCGAAACTTGAAATTTGTAAATCGTTTCCGTAATATTTCCTACTCACAATACACTATTCATTTAATCTAGATTTATTATTGGCATAAAAATGAATTTCATTACAACTGTCCTATTAATATTTAGGTGTTATTCTATGATAACATGACAGCTCCTTAACACCGAAAAGGAAATTACTTAAATATTGACCTACAGTGTAGTGCCCGTTAATACGAACAATAAGAATAGATTTTCCTGTATTACGTACAATACATAATACTCAACAAACGATCAGTGTCAGAGAATAGATTTTCTTTTTCGATAATATCGATTTTGTTGATTCCATATTTTTAAATTAAACCTCTGAAAACTTATCTTCTTAAGAACAAAATTAAAATTTAGCTTTTAAAAAATATTATTTTACAATACAGGATAAACTATTCTTATTATCAAGTTGCTAATAACTCAAATATAATAAGAATTATAGACGAATCCATTAAATACAGAAAATCTTGAAATTATCATGAAAATTCCATATACAGTATACATTGTATTTGCTGTAAAAAACACGTTTTAATAGTTTTAAATACTTACCATTTTTGAATATCTTAGACTCGGTAACTTCTATTCTTTGATGAACAATTTGTTCAGCTTCTTGAACATATCTTCTCATATCATTCGTTTTGATTCTAGGCATCGGAATGCGTGAAAATGGTAACTTGAATTCTGGTGCGTTGTATTTTTCATGAGAAATTCCCACAGTTCGACTTTTGTTCGAATGCCTCGAATTCCAACGAGTGTTGTCTAATCGAAACTCACCGGATATAGCGAAACACCAATTTATTAATATGCAGCTTTGAATATACCTGCAAAAGTATTTCTTTTTAATTTTATTAAGCTTATTCCTATATTTGTTTCTTTTAGTTTCTTAATTATATAAAATCCTATCCTTTTTTATTAGAGATTTACCCATAACCTAAACAAGTTATAGCATAGAATCCCATGCTGTGAGCGTATAGTTTAGAGCCTCATACTTATAAATTTTTCACCAGTTAATAGAAGAAGAACGACTTCTGATATGTTATAATTTAAGGCTACAATTATAAATCCATCTATTCTTATATATATATACGTATTTTAATGATTTATTTATAAAAATGTATCACTTTAAATCTTACAGTGCCAGGGTGTGGCTTTCCTGCGTAGTTTGTTAATAACACATCCTCTCATATCAATAATTGAATTCTTCAGCAGTTCGTTTAAATATATAATATCTTTACTCATTTATATTTTACTTTTATCTCTTGGTATGTGCTATATAATAATTAAATTAAATGTAATAGAAAAATGTTTATATAATGTAAAAGTTAAATGGAAAACTGTCTGATGTTTTAAATATTAAAAATGAAATGAAAACAAAAGGCCATAAATAAATCAAATTAAATACTTAAGTTTTAAAAGTATGTAATTCTGTAAATTAAAGTAATTACATAAATTAAATATGGTATGGTATAAATTTTAGGTAATCATTTTGCATAATAAAATATTTAATGATTATATACATATACAGTAGAGCGTCGATTTTCCGAATCAATTGGGGACTGGGGTTGTTCGTATAACTGATATTTCGGATAACCGATTTATGTACGAAAAAATAGTTTAACCTATCCCATGTTGTAATTTTTCTCCATTGCGTGTCACTTTGCATTGAATTTTCGTCGATGTTAAGCCTAACAAAGACTATTGTATCGTTAAAAATTATTTTTTTATTTTGTACAAACAAAATAAATATATTGAAAAATATAAAAACAATAAAAAATTATACTTCAGATGTTAATTTAGTATCAAAAACGTAAAATATTTGAGTAGCCCAAGACATAGCCAAAGATTGAAGCGCCACAGCACTGGCGAAAATTTAAATTTGCCGACTGGAATTCTTTCGGATGATTGACTTTCGGAAAATCGACGCTCTACTGTA